AATTAGATTGTCAGATTATAAATATTAATCTTATTAGGTCTATAATGCAATGCCAACCAGTAACACTTTTTTCTGCCCCTCGTCAGTGACATTAGTCCATATTTGAACCAGTGCCACTTTTTTTTGTTAACAGATGAGCTTTGATACAAGGAACAGGATATCAAGACCAAAATTCCGCTCAAGCTTGGCATTCAAAGCGTTCAGGCTTGACAATTCCTGACTGAATGCCACTAACATCTCAACTAAAGCCCTCTGGGGACTGGGACACAAAGCTGTTGACACAGCAAGATATGACTCTGATAATTCCTCTGGGCTCATCATGGTGACTCAATCTTAATACAGTGTGTTTAATTTAAAACAAAAGAAGTCACACACAGGCATCAAGATATCCTGAACCTGATAGGTCACCACAGACCAGACTGGGAGCATGAGACTTGCTCACTTTTTCAGTAAGAATGTCCCTCAGAGGCTGCTCCTATACAGACTAACCAGTTGTTGGCTTGTCAGAGTTGCTGATAGCTCAGGCTTCTCCTTAGAATTACCAGCATTTTCCACCCTAACCCTTCAGCAAAGAAATTTGGTGGCTGGCAGACAGAAATGAGTTGAAACTAGTAAGTCGATCTTTGACCTGTTCCCTAAGAAAAACACGGATACTATTTGATCCAAGTATTTATAATGAGGTCTCTAAAATATTATTTTCCCTCTCTCTCCCTCACTCTTTCTCTCCTTCTCCCCACTAATGGAGAAATCTCAAAATGTTTATGAACTCGGAGAGCTGAGTGCTGTCTAGGCCTCCCAACCCACCCAACTTCCTTGAACACACACACTTACGGCTTTGGTCAGCTGTCAGATGATATGACAAAAAGCTTAGCAGACATCTGCTCATGGATTAATGGCCACGGTATTTCTTTCACTATCAAAGATAAATTGCTAGACAGCTGTTAAAAACCACAGCACAGTTCTTGACACTGGTGATGCATAGACGAGATGACCAATTTTCTAAATGGGGTCACGAAGAACCTCCTTACTTCGGGAGCCATTTTTTCCCAGTGAGAAAAGACTGAAAGCAATAACAAGGACCGCTGTGCAAACTTCAAATCCAAAAGGGTCCAAGCTTCCTTTTTGGCTGCTGATAATGACATGTTATTTGAAGATTGTTCTGGCAGTCAGAGCTTACAAAAAGAAAAAGGATCAGAGAGTGAACGCCTTGCTTTGCCAATGCAGCTCCTGTAAATGGTATGAAAAGCGTATTTTCCAAACTCAGACTCAGTTAGGTTCCTAAAGAAATGGGCCTGTACTGGTGACGTTTGTCAGCTTGTAAAATGATTTAATAAAAGAATATCACATAATATTTATCTGAGGAGTAAATATGACAAAATATACAAATGGTCCAGCGTGTGGTTGGCTCTAAAAGGCTAGTTCCCTGGCCTTCTTGGCCTTCAGAAGTCCCCTTTAAGCTGATTCTCACTAGCATCAAGCATGTGAGTACATGTGTGAGATCCTCTTGGCTGCACTGCCAAGTTTTCTCAGCTAGATGTTTGATGAAGACAGTCAGAATGTGGCATTTACAAATATGTTTAAAATCAATGAGCGATTTCTAAAGCAGATATTACATAAAACAGATATTAGAATTGTTCACAGTAAGTTCATCAGTTCTTAAGAAGGAAGTGACATAAAAACACAGTTAGTACCGGGCGCGGTGGCTCACGCCTGTAATCCCAACACTTTGGGAGGTCGAGGCAGGTGAACCATGAGGTCAGGAGATCAAGACCATCCTGGCCAACATGGTGATACCCCATCTCTACAAAAAATACAAAAATTAGCTGGGCGTGGTGGCGGGCGCCTTTAATCCCAGCTAGTTGGGAGGCTGAGGTAGGAGAATCGCTTGAACCACGGAGTCGGAGGTTGCAGTGAGCCGAGATGGCACCACTGCACTCCAGCCTGGCGAGAGAGCAAGACTCTGTCAAAAGAAAAACAAACAAACAAAAAAAAACAAAAACAAAAAAGACCACACACACAGTTAGAAGTTAGAAAAGCAAAAGAGCAGAAAACTTGGTTAAGCACGACCAGCCAGCATTTATTTGGATGGCTCCCCGACACAGACCTAGCCTCAGGAACCCTCCCAGGACGAGGGGTGACGGATACACAACCAGACCAGGAGCCCAGAGCCCAGCACTACACCTTCACACGACCCGTGACCCTGAGAAAGTTACTACCATGGCCCCATGTCAATATCCTTGTTGGTGAAATGAAGGACATCAACTAACCATCAAGGTCCTTCCATTTCTCAACTGTCCATGAAACAATAGTTCAGTAAAAACAGCAGCAGACTGAATGACAAATCGAATATGGATTTCAAAGAAACAGAAGGTTTGGAGGCTAGAAATCTGCATGAGAATTCGTGACGAGGGGCCAGACTGTGAGCTCAGCTTCCCATATAGGCAGGTTCAATATGAGCCCAGCACAAAACAAAGGTCATGAAGAGACCATTTAAAAAAAAAAAAAAAAAAAAGACACAGATGAAGAAAACAGAACTATTAAGTACATGAATAATTATTCAATCCCAGGAACCAAAAGTAAAATCAGTTACAGTTTTTCACCTAGCAAGTTGGCAGCCAGTTGAAGATTCGTCTCTGTATCGTGTTAAGAGAATGTAAATTGATAAATACAAGAAACTACATATGGTGTATGCTTATTACCTGTGTGACAAAATAATCTGTACACCAAATCCCCAAGACACGAATAATTCTCAATGTGTTCAAATATTTAGCTGTAAGTTTATGTATTACCATGTTATTTATAACATCAAATAATTATTAAAAATCTAAATATCTAACAGGCATTTAGATATTATTTATCTAATAAACACATTATGGCACTTTTTACTGTGAAATACCATGTAATCACTTAAAAAGGACCTCATGGAAAAATATTTAATGATATATAAAGATGTTCACAACACATTGCTAAATTTTAAAAAAAGTTATAAGACAGTATAATCTCATTTTTGAAAGGAAGAATATCCATTTTTACAGCTATACATATGCACCTAGAACATAGGTGTACACGTATGTGTACATGTGTGCATGTTGTGTGCCCCCAGACCAGATGTATTAGGTTGACTCTATGAAATCTCTAATTTTATAAGTCAGAAACAGTAAAATCTCAGGAATTTCTTAAGGTTCTACTTAATAAATACAAATACACTGGTATAAGACTTGAAAATTATTCACAAAAATGTTGACTGTAGTCATATCTTCAGTGATTTATGGATACTTTTATTTTTCAAGCATTTTACAACTAAGATGTATTTCTTTTAATATAACAAAAATGTTGTAGTGAAATTAAATAATTTACACATATATCAGTCTAAAGTATGCAATTTCTTCTATATATGATAAATATAAATATATAGCATATGTGTGCAGATATATTATATATAACTGACATTTATATAGAGAGATAAAATTAACCAAAAGTCTAATCGTTTTTAGTGTAATCCGTTGCAAAGATGGAAGCAGTCTATTAGGAAAAAATCACTCATCAGGATAAAAATGCTTGGTCTCTCCGAATAGTCTCCCCTCCTCCGCTTCCTTCCCAAGATAGTCCCCGGGTGAGTGGGAGCAGTTAACATCTTATGGTGGTGGGAAAACCGGGGCTCTTGTGCATGGCGTCCTCTACCTCTTCTGGTCTCCAGGGCTGTGTACCCTGTTCCCTGGGTATTTCCTGGCGTTCAAGGCTGAAACCTGAGGCTGGTGTCGCTGGTAATCTGATCTCTTTGGGTCTGGGCAGGATTATCACTTCCTGCTGACTCAGCCTCATGTCAGCTCCCACAGGCTACAAACTCCAGAATATCTGCCATGCCCTTCCTCCAGCCTCTGGCCCAGCCTGGCACCCAGGCTCTGCTGTGCGGTCAGCTCCCCTCGCCACTCTGTGCACGCTGTCGATCCTTCGCTTCTCAACTCTGCATCTCTATCCTGTTAACGTCGAGGGCACCCTGGAAAGCTGAGCCCCAGAACCCTCTTCCTGCCTGACCACACCGGCTGCCCAGCTCGCTGTGATGTGCCTGAGGTGTAGACTGCTCTTGGAATAACTCTGAAGCACAGCCTCCAGAGAGGAAGTCAAAAGGAACCTCACTCTGCGCCCTTCCTCTCCTTCTCCATCTTCCTGCCATTCCCAGGACTAGAAGCTGACCAGGCCTTTCCTTACTTCCACTCTGTCCTCAATCCCTTCCTCCCTCTCCAGCCAGGTATGCAGGGTCTCCTTGGCTTTATGAAAACACCTCTCTGAACAGAGCCCCTTATGCTCAGTGATTAATTTGATAAACGGTTCTAGGGATTCCTTCTCAAGAGAAGAGCTTATGTCATTCCTTTTCTGAAACACAGTATATTAATATTGAACATCACCCTGGTCTTCCCCTTGGCCTTTCTCCTATAAAATATATACTTAGATGAATGCTAAGGGAGAAGAGACAAATGTTTTCGACTCATGAAAGCAAAATAAATAGCCGCGTGGCTCATGCTTATAATCCCAGGTCTTTGGGAGGCAGAGGCAGTAGGATCCTTTGAGCCTAAGAGTCCGAGACCAGTCTGGGCAACATGTCGAGGCCCCATCTCTACAAAAAAAATAAAAATAAAAAATTAGGCGGGTGGCACATGTCTGTAGTCCCAGCTGACAAAAGGCTGAGGTGCTTGAGCCCAGGAGTTGAGGTTACAGTGAGCTATGGTTGCACCACTGCCCTCCAGCCTGAAAGACAGAGCAAGACACTTTCTCTAAAAAAAAAAATAAAAAATAAAAAAAATAAAATTATCCTAAGACCTTGTCTTCATTATAAAATTATATAAGAAAAAGAGGCAGCCGAAATGTATACCTAACTAAAACAGAGAGCCATCAGGAAAGGGAGGAGGCTTTGAACAAAGACTTGGAGGATGCTGAAAGAAAGAAGAGAATTAAAAGAAACCAGAGTGCAAAATACAGAAAAAAAAGTCGAGAGATAAGAATTAAAATACCTTGTGGATTTTTATTTGTAATATATGACATTTCTCTAAGTATTCAAGTTGCTTCAGAGAGCAGCAGTTCTGATGCACCCCAGCTTCCCGCCCTGTGCGTGAAACAGATCAATAATCAAGATACCAAACGCCATCTTGTTCCGGAAAGGATTTCAGGCAGCTAACAGAGATAACCACTCTATAGGGAACATGAGCAGTAAATGATCAAGAAGCTTCAAAAAAAAGGACGATTCTTCTAAAAAGGACTTTAAAATCATAAACTCTCTAGTTGATAAAAACAAGATAGAATTATGAAAAGAAAGACGTATTGGAAATGATATAGCTCTGTAAAGAAAATAAACTTTGGTGCAGAAGGAAACAATGGTTCGATCGAGTGACACGCAGTGGGAGAGCATGCAGGAGGTGACCTGGGCAGCAGGAAGCTTTCGGAAGATGGTTCTGGGGGATTCCAAAGGAGCAAGGTGGAAGCCAAGAGCCAGAGGTGATCCTAGTCCGGGTGCGGAGAAGCGATTGACCAGATCAGGGCAGCAGGAGCAGGAGTACACGTGACAGGCGTTACAAAAATAAAATCAGCAAAACTTGGCCACTGGTTGGTTTTAGGGATTGAAGGAAGTGGTGGAGTCGGTGGTGACTACAAGGTTTCCAGCCAGGCCAACTGCAGGAATGATAGAAACAGTAAAAGAAACGGCTCACATTTAGTCTTGTTCTTAAAACAGAGTAACAGTAATATATTTTCCACTTACAAGTTTACTGTTATAACAATATTAATAGACCTGAAAGAAAATTTTCAAAATTCAAAAATTTGTACTGAATACAAATTTTAATGGCAGTACGAAGTACAATGTGTGTGTTTGTAACAAGCACTCTGAGTTACAAAACATAGTTTTTCATTTCTTATCTTCAAAGCATGAAAGAAATAAAAAGGCAAAGTACTGACTTAACTGAAAGCACCCGGATGGCCATGTGTCACCTCACATTGGGTTTGCACACTTTGTGTGTTGCTTTATATTTCCATAGTTGTCTATAAGTACTTTTTTGCTTCAAGTGCTACTTGAGTTGAATTGATTACCAGTTGAGTTCTGTCTGAAGTTTATTTTAGTAGAAATAATGTAAAGCTAGGTATAGACTATTATCCAACAAGGTATCAGATTAAGATATTTGGAAAATCAATGTTTTATTAATGATTATCATTAATCATTAATCATTAATGATTATCAGCTAGCAGTATGAGACTTTACTCATACTGCTACTCAAATGCATGAAAAACATTGTAGCTTCCTTGTTTTGTTGAACCAATCTAATCTTTTTGCATTTGTTTACTGAGATACAATTCACAGACCATACCCCTATAACGTGTACAACTGAGTGGTTTTTAGTATATTTGCAAAGTTGTGCAGTCATCACCATTATCTAATTCTAGAACATTTTTATCACCAAAAAAAAAAAAAGCCCTGTGCCCATTAGCAGTTACTGTCCTCCTCCTTCACCCAGCCCCTGGCAACCACTAATCAACTTTCTGTCTCTGTGGATTTGCCTGCTTTAGATATTTCATACAAATAGAACCATACACTATGGAACCTGCTCAATTGTCCCTGTGAACTCCCCGCTGGGTGGTGGCAGTAAAATTTTACTTTCACTGAAATTCAGTAATCAATATTATCTCAGATTTTTCCAGTTTAAGACAATTTAATTTTGGTAAACACTCATCAAGCTCCAAGTACACTCGCTAACAGATGAGTTCTCCCCTTCCTTCTTCCTTCCCAAGATGGTCTGGGGATAGGGGAAACCGGGGGAGTCCTCCTGGCAGTGGTGGGAGTGTGGGCTGCCTTCCATGCTGGCCCCTGCAGGGTGTGGCCTGACGACCCTGGTCTCTGGGCCAGTGCCCCTCAAGGACGACTCGTCTTGACTGGACTCTTGGCAAATGATGGCTCCTCCTGCTGCCAACACTAGAGCTCAACTGTGCCTCCAGCCATGAAGATCACTGCCCACGGCAGTCTCCTCCTGCCAGCTCAGGCCTCGGCCAGCTCATGGTCCTCTCAGCAGCTCTGTGTCTGCTCTGGGGGTGAGCCTGGGCCTTTTTCCCCCACCGTATGCTCTGCACCTGTCATGGTCGCCAGCATAGAAGTGAATGGATCCTTCAAAATTCAGCTGAAATATTGAACTCTTCGCCGATGTGTCCACCGCTTCCCCCTACTGCTTCCTCTGTGCTCTAGTAAGAAGATCATCTTGCTGCTACACAGAGCATTTGTTGGCTTGTATTCCAGCCCCTGCATGCATCTCATCTCTCCTATGTTATCAATCCCACCTCTCTCCCACTGCCCAGGTGGGGGCTTCCCAAGGCTACCCTCAGATCCGTGCCATGTACATCTTATGCTCAATAAATATTAAAATTAGTTGAAGTTTTGTTCTGTCTAATTAACTAGATTTCTATTTTAAAGTAACACCATGTGCATTTTATGAAATAATCATATGACAGAGGTGAGTATAAGAAGAACAGTACATCTCCACTCAGCCTCAAACAGCGCAGGGTAGTCTCTTGTTTGTAGAAACTTGTATGTTTTTCTCAGTATTTAACTCTTCCAGTTTGTTTCTGAATGAGAATATAAAGTATCTCTGAGTTGGGAAAAGAGAAAATTTATACTAGAAGTTTCTAGAGGAAGAAGAGCAGGAAGGAATTACAGAGAGAATCACATTTGCAAAATCACCTGTTAGAGGATAAGAAGGCAAAGAGGAGCCTGGCCAACACCGCGTATGAATTTCATTTTGAAGGCAACGGCAACCCTGCTTCTTCAGTTTCCTGTGGACAAATGCGCGTCTCAGCTCTCCAGCAGAATCAAACTCTCACAAAAGTCCCCTCTGAGGACTGTCTGAGCCCTGCCTCGCCATTTGTCTGCAAATGGTTTCTGACATAGAACCCAAACCAAATGACCAATCCAACACTTCTGGGTTAAAAAAGAAAATTCAGAATGGTGACGATGAATTGGGGAAGTTCAGATTCCGTGCTGTGTGTTGTGTTGAAAACATTGACACTAAATCTTTTAAGGTCCTTTTCACATCGAAGTTCCATGTGTTTCCTCCAGGCATTCCGGGATTCTACACACAAAGACGTTTTTCAGAGAAGGGTTAGGAGAAAAGAAGAGGCAGGAAAGGCATTCTCTCCTACTAAGTTAGTGAAAAACCCTTTTCGGGACAGGCAGTCTGCCCAAAAGTCGAGGTGCTGTTGATAAATAGAGAACAAAGCCAGGCCCAATGACTCATGCCTGTAATCCTAGCACTTTGGGAGGCCAAGGCAAGTGGATCACCTGAAGTCAGGACTTCAAGACCAGCCTGGCCAACATGGCAAAAACCCATCTCTACTAAAAATGCAAAAATTAGCCGGATGTGGTGGCACCTGCCTGTAATCACAGCTACTTGGGAGGCTGAGGCCGGAGAATCACTTGAACCTGGGAGGTAGAGGTTGCAGTGAGCCGAGATCGCACCACTGTACTCAAGCTTGGGTGACAGAGCGAGACTCCATCTCAAAAAAAAGAAAGAAATAGAGAACAAAATCTCAGGCTTTGAGAAGCACTGGGATCCTAAGAGAGGGAGCATAGTGCTGAGCTTTAAGTACCAGGTCTGAACCAAACCACCTGGATTCAAACCACAGCTTTACCATGTACTGTGTATTTTGGACAAGATATTTCTGCCATTCGTTTCCTTGTAAATCGTGATCATAGCAATGCCTACCCACCAGTGCTGTGTTGAGTACTGATATGAGCGTAAAGGTGCTTGTAAGAGTGCCTGGAGCCCACTGGGCTGTCTGTGTGTCACCCTCGTCATCAGCACGGCATCACCCACTGCTACTCTGACCTTGTGCTGTGATCCTTGGCCGAGGGCGACATGCTCAGCCCACCTCCACTAGAGCCTCCTTTTCCGTAGTTATCATTTCAGGGTCTTCTATGTTACCCCAGGTAACCATTTCCTTCAGACTGAGATTACGAAACGAAGAACCCAAATGTCCATGTATATGCTGGCCTTAGAAAGACACCATCACTTTCTCTTTTCTTAGCATAATGTTTTCTAAACTGCAGCCCATTCACCACCATCCTGCTCTGGGACAACACTAGCATGGAGGAAATTCTCCCAAAGAAAGAAAGGTGAACGTGAACGAACCTACCCCTGGCTTCTTGGTTTGTGACACTCCAGCGTCTGACCCAAAGGTCAAAGAATCCTGTTGTGAAAATAGATTCAAATCTTTCTGCGTTTTAGCCACTGTTAAGCAAAAGCCTTGAGATTCAAAAACAAAAAAAAACAAAAACAAAAAACTTGACAATCCTATCAATTTGTACAATGCTGGTGGATCTCTGGAAAAAAATTGTCATTGAAAGTATGAGGCAAACACCTTTTTAAATTATTTCAAGCAATCTGTGGACACACAATGCCAGGCAGCACTCTCAAAGGCCTCCTTGTGAGTGTGTGTGCCTGGAGGCTGCGGGTTGCTGGCCCCCTTCCATCGTCCTGCAAACACAGCACCATATTTGTCTTTCAGCTGTCACTATTTGTTAGGAGCCTATAAACAGAAGATTCTTTCTCAGCAACCACTGTGAAAAAGTAAAACCACCCCCACCCCCTCTTAAAAAAAAAAAAAAAAAAAAAAAAAACGCCTGAAATGAGGAAAGAAAGAAAAATGAACTTTGCAAAATTACTTGTGGAAGTCACAATGACAATCCAATATGCAAAGTTTCAAAATTGCTGGCTGCCCTTGGTCTGGGGAAAAAAGAAAAAACTCTGAAGATGTTTTCAGAAGTGAGTTGCCAACAGATTAAAAGGCAACGAGAAATGATCTCACCACCATTTGTAGACGTCTGGTCACGCGGATATCTGCAAGATAACCAAGAATAATCCAGTTACGTGGTTCGATTTCATTTCCTTGGAGAATGCTTCAGGCTTCATCTTGCTATTTTTAGCCTTGAGTGTCAAACGCCATGGGAAGCATGTCCAAGGCTGTTCACAGATTACATGTTCCCCTAGAACAGGTAGGCGTTCTGGAAGCCAGAATCACTGACAAAGTGTCTGGAGATCGAAGCATTAGAAGGAAGGAGAGACAGTAGGAAAATGGGCTTTAGACTGGCAGCTACAGAATAGCTTCAGATGGACGTTACCTCTCAGAGAATTACAGAAAAATCATCAAATTGGTAAAGAAAGCATGAACCTTGACCTTAACAAAGAACACTGCAGAGGCTCTGTGGGAGTGCTCATAGCCATTTAATCTTTCAGGAAGTTTAAAATGTTTCTGGAGTGAAATCAGCTCACTCTTGCCAGCCTGAGAACAGCCAGTTTGGAAAACAGGACTTGTAGTCATGGAAACATCAGGCATCCTGGTAACAAAACTCATTACAGGGTTTACTGGCGAAAAAATTATGGAGACTATCAGGGGGCAGGACAGGTTTGGTGCAATTCTGTGAGACCAGATAGTATGAAACCCAAAATGATGATAACTAAAATATGCTAAGCTACAGTCATTAAACAGAAAGGATTAAACTTTTGTGAGCCAAGATCTTTCTCCTTTGAGCACTGCCTGTCTACAAGTATCAGGGCTGCTCATAGTCAAAACAACAGAAGTAAAAGATCCCCAAGAGAAAAATGTTTTTCTAATCCTATATTCCCATCACGCTCTTGAAGACAGACGATAAAGAGAGATTATTCAGAACCGAACTCTCATGAACAAACTGACAAATGTGAAAATATATATTACGAACACAGAGGCTTTAATGAGTGCCCACTGTCTCATTCTGATCTTCACAGAAACCCTGTGATGCGGGCGTTATCACCGCAGCACAACAGATAAGGGAACAGGCCCAGGGGAGGTCGAGGTCAGAAAGCCTCAGAGGCAGGCTCCTGGTCTAACCCCAGGGCTCATTCTCCCCCTCACCCAGTTGCCACCCCACACATGCTGTGCTTTAGGTGAGGACGCACTGATGGGCTGAAACATCCAGGTGCCATGGATCATTCCGACGGTGCTGGGACTCCCGCTCCAAAAATGCGATTGCAACAGTATGCAGAGGTTATCAGTGAATATGTTTTATTCTAACTATAAAAAAGGGAAACTGGGGGTTTTCTCTTTGTTCGAATTCCCCCTCCCTGCGAAGGAGCTGTGTCTCTGTATGAAGAAGCTGTTTTCTTCTTCCTTCTTTCTTGCCTAATAAACTTTTCTCTCCTTAGAACAAACAAACAAACAAAAAAAGAAATTGCTGCATATCATTTTCATTTTTGAAAAAAACTCTTTTCTTTGGTCATAAAGTTTTTCTTTCTTTTTTTTCCTCACTCTCTTCCTTGTGTCTCCTTCTCTCTCCACTCTTGCACATTCATTCACCTTACAGTGGAGCCCCACACATTCTTAAAGTCCTGCTGGAGCTGCACTCAAAACTTCCCCGTGACCTTGCTAGAGCCAGATGGTGTTTCGGTGACCACCCCAACCACGCCTTCCTTCTCCCCAGCCTTCCCCTCCACCCCATGGCCGCTGCTTTGTTTGCTGATAACTTCACAGACCAGGCAGTCACGGGCAACAACGGGGCCTCCAGGCAAACTAGAGAATCGGTCACAGCCACTGTCAACTTCTCAGGACCCTCAGTCCTCTGGAAGACTCTGTTACAATGCCCAGAGTAAGTCACAGTGGAGAATGAAAAATTGGAGAAAGCATCATAGAGGTTTTAGCAAGAGTGGTGTGGTTCAGCTTGGTGCCAGCCTGTGAAACCTATAAGCAGTGCTATGGTTTGAGAGCAGCAACACAACCATACATAATTAGGACTCTGGTGGAAATTACCGCATTCCAACCTAAGCTGCCTCCTCTATACAACTTTTTTTTTTTTTTTTTTGAGACGGAGTCTCGCTCTGTCGCCCAGGCTGGAGTGCAGTGGCCGGATCTCAGCTCATTGCAAGCTCCGCCTCCCGGGTCCCCGCCATTCTCCCTAGTTGTAATTTAGATATTTAAGAAATAGTTTTCCCTGCCAGGATACTAAAAGTGGTGTATTTCGTTAACCACAGCTATAATAGGATAAAAGGTCCTTATGACTTTAAGAATTCAAATTTACTTTCCTAAGTGTTCGATTTAACATGACATAAGAAAAGGGGAAATTCAAAAACTTCTTCAGTCACTAAAAAACAAAAATTCTCCAGTATTATTAGTAATATACATAATTATATATATTTGAACCATCAATTTGCATGAATTTACACTTTTCTTAAAATTGACAATGCAAAATGTTGGCAAGGATGTGGAGCAACTAGAACTCTCATACACTGCCAGTGAGGGTGCCAAATGGTGCAACCATTTAGAAAAATTCTACGGCAGTCTCTTAAAAAGGAAAACATATGGCCGGGTGCAGTGGCTCACACCTGTAATTTCAACACTTTGTGAGGCTGAGGAGGGTGGATCACTTGAGGTCAGGAGTTCAAGACCAGCCTGGCCAACATAGTGAAACTAAAGATACAAAAGATACTAAAGATACAAAAATTAGCTGGGCGTGGTGGTGTGTGCCTGTAATACCAGCTACTTGGGAGGCTGAAGCAGAAGAATCGCTTGAACCAGGAGGGGGACGTGGCAGTGAGCAGAAATCGCACCACTGCACTGCAGCCTGGGCAACAGTAAGACTCCGTCTCAAAAAAAAAAAAAAAAAAAAGATAAACATATACCTTCCATAGGATCCAATCAGTCTACTCCTAGGTATTTACCCCAAATAAATGAAAATATAAATCTACACAGAGACTTGTACATGAACGTTCACAGAAGCATTACTCAAAATAACTAAAAACTAAAACAATCCAGATGCTCATCAATAGGTATGGATAAACAAACTGTGTTATAGTCACATGAAAGAATAGTACTTAACAGAAGAAAAAAGCATGGTGAAAGAGTCAGGGGTCTGGACAGCTGATACATGCAACCACACGGGTGACTCTTAAAATCATTATGATAGATTTTAAAAGTCAGACACAAAGAGTCTATACTGCATACTACTTGTAAAAGTCTAGAAAATGCAACTAAGTCCACAGTGACAAAAAGCAGATGAGTCAAGATCAGTGGTTGCATGAGGTCAGGGACAGAGATAAAAACTTCAATAGGACAGAAGAAAACTCTCAAGGGTAAATGGAAATATTCTGTTTCTTCAATTTTGGCAGTGACTTCATGGGTGTGTACAAAACTCAGCTAATTGAACACTTCAAATAAACCGAATTGTGCACTGTAAATGGATGCCTTTTACTGTATGTAAATTATACCTCAATAATGTTGATTATAAAATCGTAGTTAATAAATTAGGAATGTTTGCATGTGATCACCATTCTTTTTATTATGAAACAATTCCCCATAGAATCTTTTTACATATCTAGGACACTTTAAATATGATTTTTATTAGCAAAAGCAAAGCAAAGAATTTCAGCAGCCTTTCACGCAGCCATTCCTTGCTCATCACCGGAGGCCGAGGTCAGTGTTCGGTGACACTGTAAGGCACTGGGTGACATATTTCTATCACCAATGCCCCTTGTGTCTGTATCCATCACTAACTAGGCTCCATTCTGGACTCACATGCTCTTCTCTAAGCAGCTAACACAAAACACACCAAGGAGCACCTGAATCCTTAGAAAGCTTATGTTCATCCTAACCCCTCAACAGACTGAACAGACCCCCTCCAGGGCCAAGAGAACCCTGGAGGAACCTGAGAAACCGATTTCCTGCCCACGACAGGAAAGAAGGCTATAGGCATACTTCATCCGGCATACTTCGTCTGGCATACTTGGTCTTACCCCCTCCCCGGCCTTTTGGAGTTTAGGGAAAACTGACCAGCATGAACCTTAAAATACAGATCTTAAGACTTAAAGAAGACTCTTTGTGGCATTAAGATGCCAAATTCCAACCGGACTCTGGTATAGCACCACGTGGCAGACAGGCTCTGAAGAAAATAAAAATACTTTCCCCCAACATATCTTTATTGGACATTTTGAAATGGTCCTGCAAAGCCATCTTTTGAGGGGGAAATTTGCATCTGGAAAGAATCTCCATTTATGCAGCCAGGCCTTTCCCAGCCAGAGGATTTCCCAGATATAGGAGAGATTAACTAAGAGTCTGAAATGCTAAGGCCCTAAAAGGGACATTTGCCATCTATTCTCTCTGAAGGCTGCTACTTGGAGGCTTCATCTACATGACAAGAACCTTGGCTTCCATAACCTCCTTATCTTAACTAAGCATTTCTTTCTGCTGTCTTCGAGCCTTTAGACAAAGCTTAACTCAGCCAATTGCCAACTCAATCAATTGCCAATTAGAAAATCACTGACTCCACCTATAACCTATAAGTCTCCGCCTCTTCAAGATATCCTGCCTCTTTAGGCTGAACCCATGTGCACCTTCCATGTATGAATTTATGTCTTTGCCTGTAATTTCTGGTCACTCCTACTGGTTCAGAATAAACCTCTTCACATGTTTTACAGAGTTTGCTTTTTTCATCAACATGCTTCACTATCACTGGTGCTGATGAGCTAATACTGTTTTATCCTTGCTAAATATTATTTTTCTTCATTTTTTTTGATATGGGGTCTCACTCTGTTGCCCAGGCTAGACTGCAATCCAGCTCACTTCAGCCTTGACCTCAT